TGTTGTAAAATTACATCTGATTCTTTAACGTCCTGTCAGGAAGGAAATCTGCCATCCTTTCCTTGTCTGACTTACATACGGCTCCTGGCCTAAATAATGTAATTGACTCTGCTGCCCTCTAAAATGATGGAGCAAGGCAATTACAGATGGTAACAAAATGGCTTGCCATTAACATCATGGGAAAATATTACGTTCTTTGAGAAACAAGTAGCATTCAAACGTGACTGACTTGTCAAACATGCCTTGTGTTTCACATATCTTGATTGTCTTTGATTAACCCATGCATTTCCAAAGGTTCCTTAATTCTATCTTGAATTATGGATGCAAAGATTTCTCACAGCTCATGTTGTATTAACTTGTCTCTGTTTTCACCATAAAAGACATTTTGAAGCTTTTAGTCTTGCACTCCTCAGGAGAGATGTGCAAATGCCAAATTTCAAATAAAAACAATTAAATCCATAGGGTAATGATTAGTTGTTTAGACAATTCTGATAGACCAAAGTATTTCTATGGAGAAAGTAACCAGGAACTATAAGTTACCCAGATACATGGGAGCTTTAAAAAAGGCACAAGATGTGAACATATTCCTTTTGTGTGTCCCCATGTATGACTGGATGTCACTTTTAACAAATGTAAATGAGCCACATTACAAACTCAGAGATAGTAGGAACTGCCAATGCTGCAGAATCTGAGATAACAAGGTGTAGAGCTGGATGAACACAGCAGGCCAGGCAGCATCAGAGGAGCAGGAAAGCTGACGTTTCAGTTCTGGACCCTTCTTGAGAAACGGCATTCAGAAATCCCATTTCTGAAGGAGGGTCCAGACCCGAAACATCAGCTTTCCTGCTCCTCTGATGCTGCTTGGCCTGCTGTGTTCATCCAGCGCTACACCTTGTTATCTTACGTTACAAACTCAACTGATTATCTTAAGTCATTTGCTACTGTGGGTATTCTGCAATCTAATTTAAGCCCAATTGTAGAATCGCATCTAAGAGATGACATTTTGTTTTGGGTTTTGTAAGTGTGGACTGATTTCAAACAGAGTGCAACTCGTACTCAATGAACTGCAAGAGAAGCAGCCAATCATTGGTACATACAACCACTCAACCTGGCACTGAACTAGCATTGAAATTCATACATGGTATTTCTTGTCTACAGTTACACAGTTTAAATGTCTGCCCCTTCTTGAATAAAAGTGTTCCATTGGCCCATGATGCAAATTGCATCACCAAGGAATTTTCCCTTTTCCATCATCTTAAATAACTTTGGATTCAAATCCCAGTCTTGCGAATCTAACAGCCCCTCCCAGAAGCCTTTATACAACTTAGCTTAAACTTTCTTAACTTTAAATAATTCTTTCAGTGTTTAAACAAACATTTCTGCTTTGGAACTTTTACTAAACTCATTACACTGACATAATGTATTTTTAATTATCTTATCCTTTTCTTAAGAGTAACTGTTTTATACATTCAGCTTCAGCCAAGACCCTGCCGAATTGCCCAAACTCAAAACTAAAAAAAAACAATTTATCCAAGGTATGGGTGTTTCCCCTCATCAAAAAAGAAAAATCAATCCCTGATCTTCAAAACTAGAGTCTAATATACAAATATTTCTGTTTAAAAAAAAATAGACTGGACAGGAACATGAACTAATAGAAAGCATGCACCTCCTGGAATGGTTCTCCAACAACTACAAAAAAATTTGGAACTACTCTGGAGGTCATGACAGACAAGCTACAAGAAACATCTCAGTTTGTGAAAGGCTTTGGTGGGATTAGGTAAGAGCTGCATGTTTGAGCTGTGAATCGTACAGCCAACTGACCAGCTATTGCTGTTTCATTACAATATCATAGACGTTATGTGTAATACCCATCATATGCTAACCTGTACTTTCAAAAGCAGTAGATTAGTAAGCCTAATGTCAGTGTTGGGTAAATTGTTGGAAGAGATTCGGAGAGAAAGGATCTACATGCGTTTGGAAGAGGCAAGGACTGATTAGGGATAGTCAGCATGCTTTTGTGCATGGGAAATCATGTCTCATACATTTGATTGAGTTTTTTGAAGAAGTAATCAAGATTATAGATGAGGGAAGAGTGGTAGACATTGACTGCATGGACTTTAACAAAGCCTTCAACTAGGTACTACATGTAGACAGGTTATTAAAGTTAGATCACATGGGATCCAGGGAAAGCCAGCCAATTGGATACAAATTTGGCTTGATGTTAGGACACAGGACGATAGCAGGGGGCTGTTTTTCAGACCGCAGGCTTATGATCAGCGGTGTACAACAAGGCTTAGTGCGAGATCCACTGTTCGTCATTTATATAAATGATTTGAATGAGAATATAGAAGGTATGGTTAGTAAGGTTGCAGCTGACACCAAAATTGGTGGTGTAGCAGACAGTGAAGAATGTTAGCTAAGAGTACAATGGAATCTCGATCAACTGGGCCACTGGGTTAAGGAAAAGCAAATGGAGTTTAATTCAGATAAAAACCAAAAGAACTGCGGATACTGTAAATCAGGAACAAAAACAAAGTAGCTGGAAAAGCTCAGCAGGTCTGGCAGCATCTGTGAAGGAGAAAACAGAGTTAACGTTTCGGGTCCGGTGATCCTT